AGGTCTGCCCGGATGACAGCTCGTAAACCTAAGAGCACCAGTGGCAAGGCATCAACCCAGGTGGCTCTATTGAGGCGGGTAGTCAAGGCGGTCTTCAGTTGTCGGTGAAGGCGTTCCACCATGCCGTTGGCGCAGGGATGATAAGCCGTGGTACGGCAATGTCTGGCTCCGAGGATGCGATTAAGGCAAGTAAACAGCGAGGACTCAAACTGACGTCCACGGTCTGTTGTCACGGTGCCAGGACAGCCAAAACGGGATACCCACGTAGAAATGAAAACGCGGGCAACTGTCTCGGCTGTGATATCTTGAATGGGAACAGCCTCTGGCCAGCGTGTGAAGCGATCGACCATGGTCAATATATAACGGTACCCTTGAGACACTGGTAGAGGGCCCACAATGTCTAGATGAACATGGTCGAAACGACGGCCGGGTGGAAGGAAAGGTTGGGGCGGCGTCTTAGTATGACGGGAGACCTTTGTCATCTGGCAGGGCAGGCACATGCGCGTCCAAGCGCGCACATCACCATTGATTCCGGGCCAGACATAGCGCTGGGTGAGAAGACGCTGAGTAGCCCAAATGCCAGGGTGACAGATGTCGTGTAAGGAGTGGAAAACGGTGCGTCGTAATGAAGCGGGAACGAAAGGGCGGGGAAGGTCAGCTGAGACATCGCACCACAAGCGCTCAGATGATAATGGATGAGGCACCAGGCGTAGTCGGAGAGAACGGGGGTTCTCCCGAAAAGCGGCAAGCTCTCTATCATCCTGCTGTGCCGAGGAGAATGAGGCCCAGTCGATGGTTGGCGGTGGAGAGTCAACCGCGGCTATACGAGAAAGGGCATCTGCGGCGGTGTTGTCAGCTCCTTTCACGTGGCGGATGTCAGTCGTGAACTCCGATATATAAGCCAGATGGCGGAGTTCACGGGGCACGTACTTGGATGAGTTAGTGCGGAAAACATACGCCAGTGGCTTATGGTCAGTCAGCACGTAAAACGAGCATCCTTCCAGGAAATGCCGAAAGTGCTGTATTGCAGCGTAGATGGCTAGTAGTTCCCGGCCAAAGACGCTGTAGCGGGTCTCAGCAGGAAGTAGCTTCCGAGAGTAAAACGACAAGGGTCTCCACTCGGAGTTAATGCACTGCTGTAAGACGGCTCCGACGGCCACGCTGGATGCGTCCACCATCAACCGAGTAGGGGCGTTGCTGCGTGGATGAATAAGAAGCACGGCGTTAGCGACCGCTTGCTTAGCAGCAGCAAAGGCGGCCTGGGCCTCTGACGACCAAGGAATGGCGGAGGACGGGCCGGCGGTCGACCGAAGGAGGTCGGTGAGCGGTCGTAGCAGTTCGGCACAGTGTGGTATGAAGCGCCTGGAAAAATTCACAAGCCCCAGGAATTGGCGTAATTGGCGCAGTGTTGTAGGCTGAGGATAATCCTGAATTGCTTTAACGTGGGACCGGAGAGGGCGTATTCCTTTGGATGATATGTGATGGCCCAAGAACTCGAGCTCAGATGCGCCGAAAGTACACTTAGAGGCGTTCACAACGAGGCCGTACTGCTGAAGACGTTGGAACAGAGCGCGTAGATGGTGCTCATGATCTTCAGGTGTGCGGCTGGCGATGAGGACATCGTCAAGGTACGCAAACACAGTAGGAAGACCCCGTGTGACCTCAGAAATGAACCGCTGGAAAGTTTGAGCCGAATTGCGGAGTCCAAAAGGCATCCGCACGTATTCAAACAACCCAAAGGGCGTCGTGATGGCGGTCTTAGGTATGTCGGCGGGCTCGACAGGAATCTGGTGGTACGCCTTAACAAGGTCCACTTTGCTGAAAATTGTGCAGCCGTCGAGGCGCGATGTAAAATCCTGGATGTGAGGTAGAGGATAGCTGTCGTGGACAGTCTTGGCGTTCAACGCTCGATAGTCCCCACAAGGACGCCAGTCACCAGGATCACGCTTTGGCACCAAATGCAGCGGGGAAGCCCAAGCGCTTGACGACAGGCGGATAATGCCAAGCTGCAGCATGTGGTCAAACTCCCGTTTAGCAATAGCTAGGCGGTCTCCGCACAGGCGGCGTGGTCGAGCGGCTGCCGGTGGACCCCGGGTGACGATGTGGTGTGTCACCGTATGTTTAGGCGGCTGAGTGAGGTTGCACGGTTTAGTTAGCTCCGGGAAACTCGCCAAGATTTTTTCGAGCGGTGAGGAAGGTATCAGCATGCGGATGGCCATTGGAGCGATGTCGGACAGGACTCCCGAGATGGAGAGACGAGTCTTACCATCTATGAGGCGGCGCCGCCGCACGCTGACGTCCAAATCGAAGTATGAGAGGAAGTCCGAGCCGATGATCGGTTGAACCACGTCTGCGATGACGAAAACCCACCGGAAAATGCGGCGAAGGCCGAAGTCGAGGGTGAGAGATCGGAGCCCATACGTTGCTATAGACGAGGCGTTGGCAGCACGAAGCACTTGCCCCTGTGACTTTGAACGATCAGCCTTAGTCGGGGGCACAACGCTAATTTCCGCGCCCGTATCTATAAGGAACCTGGCGCCCGATAGCTGGTCCGTGACCATGAAAAGGCGGCTGGGACGAGAAGGGAGATCACACGCCGCCGTCAGTGATCCCGGCAGGCGTTTCCCTGCCACGAACATGGGGGTGTACACTTCGTGGCTCGGTGTCGGAAACGCCGATGGTACCAGCAGAGGGGTGGAGGGCTGGGACTCCGAGCATCTTGTGTGCGTGGAAGAGCTCGACGACCGGAACGAGGCGAACGAGTCTCTTGCAGGGGGCTCCGGAGTGCGGCAATGGAGGCGGCGAGTTCGTCGATGCGGGCCTCAAGGCGCGAAATCGCTGTGTCTGCTGGTGGTAAGACAGCGTTGACAGATGGGGAGGTCGCTTCATGAACCTGATCGGCGAGCTCCGCCAGGCGGTCGAGATTGACGTCGCCGGCCGCCGCGAGGACGAGGCGGATTGGCTGAGAAAGGCGTTGCAGGAAGAGCTCGCGAAGCAACGCTGAGTGGGCAGAGACGTCGTGTTTCCCAAGAAGCTGTCGCATTCGGCGCAGTAGTTGGGAGGGGCGCCTGTCGCCAAGGTCCCCCTCTGCAAGGAGCTGCTGTAGGCGGACGCGTTCCGAAGGCATGAATCGTTCCAGCACCTTGGTTTTAAGGTGCTGATATGGCGTGGTGTCCGAGGGGTTGGAGAGGACGTCGGAGAGCTCGCTGGCAACGTCAGGAGGAAGGACGGAGGCTACGTGGTAGTAGCGTGTCGTTTCCGAGGCGATGCGGTACAGGGAGAATTGCGCCTCGACCTGATGAAACCAAACTTGCGGGTCCTGTGGCCAGAAAGATGGGAGACGCAGTTGCACGGCCGAGACGTCCTGCGGACGTGAGGCTTGTTCGGTTGAGGGTGCATTCGAGTCAGTCATTGTCTTCGTCCGAGGTCACCACTTGTAGGCTTATGCCAAAGGAGCGAAACAAAGACACGCCTGAACGATAACCGATGCCAGCCAGAAACGCGAGCCGTGGCTTCACGTGCCACGGCCTAGCGCCTTCTTTATTTTCCTCTGTCGCCATCGCGCGCTCTCCGGTTTGCGCGCCGCCCGAACGAGGGCGCTACAACCTCTATGGCCCCCTCCCATATAGTAGCTCTGGAAACCGGTGGATTATTGTCGGAGTCGATCATCTGACACGCTACGCTGAGACTGCAGCTCTACCGGCAGCGACCGCCCACGAAGTTGCACTCTTCATTCTCCGCAGCTTCATTCTACGCCATGGTGCTCCGCGGGAATTACTCAGTGATAGGGGTCGAGTGTTCCTGTCGGAGGTCATCCAAGCTATCCTCGCTGAATGCAACATTATCCACCGGAAATCTACCACATAACATCCACAGACAAATGGTCTTACTGAGCGGTTCAACCGCACACTTGGCGACTTGCTGAGGATGTACACCTCCTCCGACCACACTAACTGGGACGCTGTATTGCCCTTTGTTACCTTCGCTCATAACACCGCGACACAAGCGACTACCGGTTTTTCCCCGTTCTTTCTATTGTACGGCCGCGAACCTTCCCACCCACTCGACACTATATTACCGTATCGCCCTGATGCATCAGAGTGCTCCCCGCTTTCGGAAGTCGCCAGATACGCTGAAGACTGCCGTCAGTTGGCTCGGTCTCTGACAAGTGAGGCTCAAGGTCTACAAAAGACTCGACACGACGACGCTAACCGCATAGCTCCTACATTTCGTGCTGGCTCCCTTGTGTGGCTTTGGGTGCCCCGCACGTTCCTGGCCTGTCTTCTAAACTTCTGGCCCGGTACCATGGTCCCTACCGTGTCATTGACGCGACCTCTCCGATGAATTACGTCATCGAGCCACTAACACAATCACCAGATTTGCGCCGTCGAGGACGCGAGAATGTACATGTCGACCGTCTTAAGCCCTACTACGACCCCCTCATTGTGCCTACTCCCTGAGTCACCAGAATGGCTACCCTTCACCCCGAGGGTATTGTAGTGGAGCATACGCACCAACGTGTATGCGCCTTCGGAAGACAACGAAAAGCCCGTGCTCTGATTGCGCGAGAACCTATGCCGCCTTTGCCAGACTTGCTGTTCGCCCATTTTTCGTCGCGACCTCGTTGCGACTCCTCTGTTCGAATAAACATCATTGCAATATGTTTATTAAAACAAATTAAGTAAGCCCTGAATACCTTTTTCAAATAACCATGGAATGAATTCACTAAAAGAACATATTGCCTCATGAATTCAACGACGCTAAAATTTTAGGAATCCGTCCACTAGGAGCGGAGTTACAAAGATTTGTTGCATGCTGCAGTTGCATTCTCTCTTCTCTTGTCCGGACTAAAGCACCGGAAGCTTAACAGGGGAGGATGGCATGGGCGAAGAAAATATGTCATACATGCCTCGTGACTTTAAGCACTTTGTTTATTTTTCTTCGAATATGCAACTTTTTCAGTGTGATCGAGCGCGCACGCGTGGACAAGTCGCGGCCTCCTACGGCGATTCCCTGAAACGACCAAGCGTGCCATGTTAAAATCAGCTAATGGCTGATAGATGGCCTTCTACGAGTAATTTTGAAGATAGTCTATGTGATTTGTCGAGAAAAGAGAAAGCAATTTATAGCTGACTTTGATCATTTATCATGAATTGCAGGCTGCATGCTGCGCCATATTATTTGGCTAGCGTGTTCTTGGGAGCCTCTACTACGAATTGCCATTGTTTTCTGACCACGCTTAAAAAGTGTTGCAGGGCCATTTTAAAGAGATAAAAAACATGTTATATTGCAACACAAAGACTGTGTTACATACAGTTTCTAAAATAGCTATGCCACAGTATGATGTCTCTAGCAAGAAAGCAAAACAGGAATATATACTTCAAAGTGGGACGTTGTTACCATGTTTCCTTGCAAATGGCCAGCACAAAAGATACATTAAGTTCAAAGCTAAAGGTAAGGTGCAGGTTATTGATAATTTTTGGTACACAAGGCAGCTCCTTTGCAATGCTTCATGGCAATGTCATGAAGGTGGCTTCACGGCAATACCTGGAGATCTTTTTTAAAACTTCTCTACAAGTTGTAGCTAGGGATGTGGTTTACGGTTTAGGCAAAGTCATGTTATGTACAAGAAAATACGGTATCACTACATCACAACATAGGCATGAAAATACAATTGTTATATCTGAGACTTGTTATAGGCTGACCACCATTACGTGCCGACTTCTGAGAAAACATCTCGAGGCTCAATTTGTTACACCTCCGTTCGTTGTTTCATACCTACTTTTTCAAGTCTGCCCACTCACCTCGGCAGGAAGAAATCGAGACTCTCATCTCGCTCCATCATCTGAGCCAAGAAGCCTCGCAGCCGTATGTAGTACTCCATTATGTCCCCATCCCAAGTGACACTTCGTTCCAGCTGCAAGGAAGAGAGAAACAGAAAGACAGAAACATTTACAGCAAAGCTGTTTAAAGTCAAGTTCTGGGCAGAACAACTTTCAGCACCCTTCATCACCTTGTCACTACCTAATGCCTCCTTCACCAGCGCCGCGATAGTCAGCGGCAGTTTCCCACCAATCATTGTCCCCCTTTGTCTCGCGACATAGAGATCGCGCTAACGCTGTTATCAGCAGTTGCCCTTTGGACTTGCTATTGAACAAACTCATACCATTCACTCATAAGAAAAGCAGCAATTGAAGGAGTGCCAACGAACACTGAAGCACGACTGGGTGCAAAATTTATTTCACACCAGAGAAAAAAAAAATATCTGAGGCAAAAACACTTCAAGCATTTTGTATATACATAAGTGCAATATATCTTAAAGAAGACTCTAAAGCACACATTTAATATACCCGATACACATCGCGTTTCATGCTAAAAATTGAGGTGGCAAAGCTACTTCAGACGAGCAAATCACAAATTCATCTGCACCAATTATCACATAACAGTGAGGCCTACTACAGTTTGGAATATAGACCTGTGCAAATGAATGTTACAGCATTTGATTCACGTCAACATGAACTGAATATTCCTAAAATTTTGATGTGTTTGAAATGAGTGATAGTACATAATTTGCTTCAAGTTACCAGCCTGAAGAGGTGATTACACTGCTACATACACTTGTTATGCCGTGAAACTGCTTATTCAGAAGAAAATTACGATGCCATTAAGTCACGATTCAAGGTTAACTGATGAGGACATTTGCTGCAGGCCGATTTATTCATTTCAAAGCTTATAAACGTGTTACGCGAGCTTATATAGGATACGTATGCAAAATATTAAACTTTAACATATTTCACCGAACATAACTTCCACCTTACTATTCAAAAACTTCTCCCATTCTGTATTGCTTGGTAATACTGTAATGTTACACCAATTACTATTTTCTTTGACTTCCTTTCTAAAGTGGAAATAGTTGTTCACACAAGCCCGTACATTAATTAAGAAATTTGAAAGCTATCCCGATTTATCTGTGCCAATAATTATACAAAGCGACATTTTTGGTATAATTTATACATATCAAAATCCATGGCTCCTCCACACACAGCTAAACTATCACAAGCTCTCACCTTTTTGACATACGCATTCAAATTCTTGAGGTCAGCCAGAACAATCGGGTAGAAGGTGTAGACTTTGGTGTCCCGAACTTTTATCTTTGCAATAATCTTGGACCAGGCATCCAGAATACTCAGGCTGTCAATAAATTCGACGAGTCCATTACGCACTTCATCCACCATGATGTCTCCCTGCACACATGTCCAACAAAAAAATGGGAGGAATATATGCGTACAAGATGATGGTTGTGAACAGGCCACTTTTAAATACTACTATGAATAATCGAGTGGGCCCTGTATGTTATTATTGTTCATTTTATTAAACTCTTTTTTACTGTAAAAGCCGTAATGTGATTACAACAACAGCTGATTTAGGTATCGCAGTTGTCCACTACCTGTGTCCGCAGCTGCTATAGCGCAAAATTATATCCAGGATCAAGCAGGCTTTCACCACTGGCCTTTTACAAAGTAGGTGAATATTCTACTACATAGTGCAGCAGTGCTTGAAACTCCTTTGCAAGAAGACCCTATACAGGTATAATGTCGGGCAAGGAATCACATTAACTGAATCTTTCACAGCACGGTGGAAGAGAAAAATAAGAGCTGGGTGTGGCACTATGTCAATTATGCACTGAGTGGGTCGTTTAAGGTTTCCCCCTCAAAACAAAGACGCCTTCATTGTCAGAAGTCTACATCGTCATCAGCCCCGGCACCAACCATATAGACACAATGCCTTACAAATGTGTAGTGTATACCTAATTTTTCCACTGAATGATGAATGATAATAATTGTAGGGGTTGTAGGTTCCCAAACCAAACGAGGAGGAGGGACGTCGTAGTAAAGGGTTACGGGAATTTCGACCACCCGAGTTTCTTCAGCACCTAACCTGAATCTAAGCAGGCGGGCCTCAAACATTTACACCTCCACCGAAAATGCAGCCGTTGCGGCCGGGATTCAAACCCGTGACCTTTGGGTCAACAAGTGAATACCGTTACTAAACCAGAGACAGCAGAGACAGATGACTTCACAGATTGTGAGGAGCTCTGTCAACAGTTCACCAATCTAAGAGGTGACGGTGCCGCCTAAAGTGACGAGACTTTTCTGGAGCACGCGCCGTGTGAGCAGGATGGGGCAGTGACCGTAGAAATGACGGAGGCCGAAATCGTTCAAATGGCCACAAACGTAGGGGACGGCAAAAACGACAACGATGACGAACTACCTTGAGAGGTGCCGACATCTTCTGAAACGAGAAATTTGCTGCGCTTGCTATGAAATAAGGTCGAGTGCAGCGGTGGGGAAGATCGACTGATTCGATGCATCAAGCAGATGGAGGACGCCTTCCTAAGCCCAAGTACGACCGCAAAGCAGATGAGCATTAGGTAGTTTTTCTCTGCTAAATAAAATGGCAGTGCGGCAAAACCCAGCCCATTAAAATATATTGAATGTTATTTTTTTTTTTAAACCTGCACGAGAAGAAAGATTAGAAACTGCTGCTAAAGAGCCGGTAAGTAGTAGTGATTTTTTTTAAAAGGGCGCATTTTTCCCGGTGATTAGTGCAAGTTTGCTTATCTCAAAAATCTGTTTATCTCAAAATTTTTTCCAATTTTTATGACTTTGAGTTAACGAGGTATTACTGTACTCGGGAACCGTAAGACATGTCTTCCCGTACCATGACTTCATCGAAGATTGGGCTCCCTTTGAAGACCTGTTCATAAGCCACTTGCATCAGGTTGGGAAGCGTGCGCTCTGCTAGGCGCAGGCATACACGCCACCACGGTGGTGTGCCCCAAGTCACGTCCTCGCCCGTCAGGGACGACAAGAAGGCACTGGACGCGTCTGGCACGTCCATGAATGGAGCCAAATGCAGCAGTGCCAGGATGACTATGTACTCGTGCAGGGCTTCCCTGCAGTGGTCGTGTAACAATGCTGTCTTTTGTTGCTTAATACAATTAAACCAAGGTGCAATACAACAGTGTCTAAGACAAACTAACAAAATTAGACAAGGAGGGGCCGCATACGTGGTTTCAGTTTAAAGGGTCGTGAACCATCTGTCAGGATAGGTGAGAAAAGTAGGCAGGTGCGAATAATAAATTTTAAGTTCGAGGCTGATTGGAAGCGAATAGTCACAGGATTTTGAATCGAATATGAATAGTATATATCACATATTATAAGAAAAAAATGAGCAATTTGTTACAACCCAGATAACCTGCACAATATTTTTTTAATTCAAGCAAGGCATGTGCAAATAAATGTCCCTTTTGTTTTGACGATATATCTGAAAGCAATTTCGAATAGTTACCGGATTTTACTTTCAACAGAATGCAACTGATAATCTGTAAAATACATACATTATAAAGTTACTAGACTTAAAGGATATAGGCCAGTAAACAAGCTTTAAACTTAAAAAATGATGAATCTTTGTGAGGGTGATGTGTTTATTTAACCTTGAAATGAGGCTTTGCTGAAGTGCAGATTTCTTCTGCATAAATGTATTCATGGTATCATTCGAATTGTCCACATGCTGAAATATTCACACAAGCCTAAAAAGAACACACCCTACAAATATCAGACACTGCCATGAATACCTCAGCCAAATTTTGCAGTCATGCATGGTAAAGAAAATTCACAAGTGGAGTTCAAAGTTGGCATTCTCTCAGACACTGTCTTTTTACGCACAGGCCTGTGCTCACTCTCTTCAAAGCGGCCGGCACTTCCTGTTTAACAACGCGGCAGAGAGCATGCTACTGGCCAATAGCTGAAATATATAAAGAGCAGCATTTGGAGAAGATGCGCTACCCGCCCCTCTGAGGTGATTCAATGATTAGTACTCGATAACGTGATTCACGAAAAGGCACAATGCTTCAAAACTTATCAAAATTATCAATCAACCTTGATAGAGCTTGCTAGGCTTGTACATATTTGTGCACCGATTTCAAATATGCAATTATATTTTTTCAGTACAACACATTGTTGTTTTTTTAAATAAAACCAGAAATATTTTCTGTGCATTTTTTGACAAATTTTTCCTAAACTCGTAGAGTTGCAAAGTAAATAGGCAAACCACAATATTATGAAATCAGAACCGTATGCAGACGAACAAAAACAGACATTATAATCCCATTCGGACAAACGGACAAAAGCAGCATTTCATCGCACCTGTCCGTGGCCAGCAACGTGTAGACGAGATCCAGAAAGCGTGGTGCCTTGACAAGCAGCCGAGAGGAAGGCCGCAAGTCTTGGCTGCTCCCAAAAAGACCGTTGAGCAGCTGCACTGACACCCAGCCCACAACAGCAAATGTTACAGCGCACAGTAAGACCACTGTTAAAGGTTTGTCATATAATTTATGAAGGCAGATGGCGCATTAGTCATAAAAGGCGAAATTTGGGAAGGTTGGAACAAATAATTCATGATGACGTTGAGCACAAGCCCAATATGAGAAATGAGATGAAAGAAGAAATTTATGTGCCCTTGTTTGCTCATTCCATGTGTTGTGTTTGCACTCAGTATACTCAGACCTCATTATAACAAAGTTGCATCTTACACAAGAACAAGTTTGTTATGTCCGAAAATTCATTATAAGGGTATATTAGTATATTCCAAACACTATATCTATTTTGAGGTTATCTTCATTTACTTTGTTATAATCAATATTTCATCATACCCATGTTCATTATATTGATGTTCGAGTTACCATAATGAATGACACATTGTTTCTCTAAAGCTTATTAAAGACGATCTGTCTGTTGGTCAACTTGTCTGTCTGTCAACCGAAATAGCGTAAGTTCAACCGCAGCACCCACCAATGTTGCTTTGGTATCTGCGTTCATACCTGTGCGTATTGTCATTTGAAAACCAAATATGGCGTATATATAAGGTGCAACATGAGCACGTCATATTCTGTGGCGTGTTTCTATTTACTATAAAATGCGTACACAATTGCAAAGATCTACGCGTTTATTATATTGTGCTGACAATGCACGAAAAAGTAGGTGTTTCCTATGCTTTGCTAAAACGATACGGTGGTGGAACCTACCCATGGCATTGCATTCTACAAATTATGGCCTCCGAGAATGCATGCACACGTCACACGCTCGCTGCATCAGAGGTCATCCTTTCGTTTTTCAAGATTACTGCCAGATGGCCTTCATATCTCACGCAGCACCTCCAGAATCCCATTCACCAATTTTATCGCATAGAACATCAAACAAACATTTTATTCACTCTCTCCAGACAGAACGACTATTGTCTTTCGACGACATTTGCAGTGAAACATGTAGATATGGGGCCAATTTTTTGTCTGTTGCTTAGCAGAGAGAGATGGACCGTGAAAAAAAAAAAATTGTGCTTCCGAGTACTACGAGCCGTCTCCTTTTTATGAATGGTCAACAGTTGATAGGTTTGGTAAAAGAAGGGCACTGACCACGAAAGAATGTCGAAAAAGATGTTTCAGCTCCCCGGACAGAATTGAGGTTGTGTTTACGGATGCTTAGTCGTTGTAAACAAAGCTCCCCTATTTCAGTGCAGCTTGTGTGCTTTCTGCTCTGATCGAATTGCAGAGCTCATCACAGTAAAGTAGGCCCATCAAACCCTAACAATTATTAATCGCAGTAAAGTAGTATAATAACAAAAATTTTCCCCTGAATTTGAAACTGGGAGCGAGCAAAGCTTGGCATATGCGTAGCTGACATATTACTTTTCTTTCTTTTCCAACCATCACAGAAGTGAAATGGCCCTGATTGAACGTGCACAAGTCGGGAGGGTGCACCTAGGCAGCTAGATCCGGTACCGGAGAGCGAGGTCACGTCTTCGCATCCCGGCAACAATGAAATGTATCAACCTGAAACAAGTGGCCCCAATAATGGATCACGTTGCTACATCAGAACTGGTTGATCGCCGACAAGCCCACAATCGATAGGGCATCCTGCATCTTTAAGGGCCAAACCGCTGTACCTGGTTGGTAACAGGGTTTTTTTACAGCAAAGCTGTTGTGGTAGAGGTTTGCTATATTCTTAAATAGAAACACCTTAAATCCACAAGTGCTCAACGACCACCCAAGCACTTGGTACAGATGGTTAACAAGTGGATCTCAAACGAGCTCACCAGCTCTTCTGTGACACAGCCTTAGTGCAAGCTGCGCTGCGCTAACTTGACTTTTTTTTTTTGCACGTGACAACTCCACCACTAAAACATGCGACTTATTACAAAGTTTGCTTGAAAATCGAGGGAACAAAAGCATCAGTATGAAACAGAGTGTTCATTGAGGACAATGATCCCGCACTGAAACATGATGGCAAAGTAAGCAAGCACACTCTAACCTTGATATAACGAAATAACAGTTATAACGAAGTGAAAGAAAAATAGTTTGCAATAGCTAGGGTGTTAGGAATATACCTTTATAAGGAATTTCAGGGTATAACAAATTCATTTTCGTGCAAGAAGAAACTTTGTTATAATGGGGTCTTAGTGTAAAAGGTGCATGATTGCCTCGTACAATGGCAATTCATTGGATCCACGCTATTAGCAGTGTCACCTTAACAGAAAAAAAATTGAAGATGAGTATCGTTACCGGGTCCAGTCTGCTCAGTTCTTGGTAGCTGTGCATTTCGTACAGGGCCATTCGATCTGAGATGTGCCGGTGGGCTACGGAGACCTGCACGATTCCAGGGAGATGACGAACGGTTACAGAAAGCATGTCAACGTAGGCTGTCAATTTCACGTTCTTTAGAAACAAGCAAATATGTGTCCATTAGTGTGTTCTTTGAGTTATTAACCAGTTGATGATAATGTACGCTGTTTAATGACACAAGGATTAGTTATGTCTAAAAAGTGCCATGTTGTAGTGAATTTCCAGCGTCTTCTATATGAGCTGATCCCATAATTTTCAAATGATAGATGTACCATTGCTCTTATAAAAGCCCAAATCTGTCCACTGTAACTCGCGTAGATTACCTAAGTATATATTAGAACTATGATGACTAATTATGTGGTCTACGTGTATGAAAACTCCCTTACAAAGAGATGATAAAATAAAACGTACATGAAAACACTAGTGCTCAAGGGAGTCCTTGAAACCGAGGAATTGGGTCATGTATTATAAAAAGTATTTGCACAACAGCTTCAGCTTGCAATGTGAGGCTGCCCTACATATGACCTAGCCAAATTATTTTTAATTTTTTTTTACATCCTCTCAAAATTCGATACGGTTTTTAATATCAAACAGCGGCTTCTTTCTCAGAAAGGATGCTGAAGGAATGGGGACATGCTCCCGACGTACGAGACGAAAGCACCGTTTAATGCAGCACTTTTCTGTTTATATAAAGGCAGTAATTGAGAACACGGAGTACTTGAAGGATGTTTCCACACCCACCACATGCGGTCGAATAGTCAGCCCACCAAAAGCAATCTCTTTAGCCTCTTCATACGAGATGAATAGGAAACTCTGGCATAGTGCTAGGCACCTTGATTTACTGTCAAACACAAGCCATATGAAGCCAACATAAAATGGAGGCATTATTCGAAGTTTTAAACTGAGGTGTAGAAATGATGAGATAAAGAAAAAGTAAAGCAGATGAAAAAAAAAAAACTCATCAGCAGCAGGAATAGAGCCCTCCAACCTTCGTATTATGTGTGCAAAAGTTGCAGGTTTCAGTTCTTATATTATTAGGCAGGGCAAGGCTGGGCAAAATGAGACCCAAGGCTAAATGCAATTCTTTGACTTTGGTGCCTTGTATACCTGAAACAAAGACATATATTCATTACATTCGATATTTCATCAACAAGTGCCTGTAATCCCTTTCCTTTGATGAAAACATCATGACTGTTTGAAAATCTTGCGTTGAAAAAAGTGCGCAGTTGTTACCACAGAGCTCGTGAACCACCAAAAAAAGGGGCGAAAAAGGAGTGAGAACGAAGTCTGCACAGCTTTCAAAGTTATAATTGATGAGGCCAATTCTATCAAGAAGTAAACTCAATTTTACAGTTGACATGTATTGTGTTGATAATATGCAGCAATCTTCCTTTTTTAGAATTTCTCCGCGTATTGTAGTTTGGCATGCAGGTTACATGCAGGGGCGGCTGATACACAGCAAAATATGGTAGATCCACCTAATCTATTAACCAAGCAAGAACTTAGGAAAGACACAAATTAAACAACATGAGTAAACATAATACCCTTAAATGTGCAACGCAAGCCTTATAACCATTAGTGCTCACATTGGTCATGGCCATCGTGATACGTGCAAAGCTGCGAGTGACAGACTGTACTGCACCGAGATCAGAGAGCAGCAGCAACGCGAGGGGCTGCGCTACCCTCAACAGCATGTTCCACTGTTCGGTGCCCTCGGCAGTGACCAAAGGAGGCTTCATCCGGCCCCAGGCCAGTTCGGGCTCGTCAACCTGCAATCATTAAAGATTACCGGGTAAGCCAATCTGGTAGTCATGAGCAAGTCATCAGCGCTGCTACTTGTAAGAGCTTTACAGAGTTCGCTAATGGACCCACATCCCTCGCAGCATTACACAAGCACACTTACACAATTTCGAGACACTTTTTAATTTCATAGCTAACCTGATAAGCACTCGGCATGTGGATGACTACTTGACCACCGCTGCAGAGTTCAAGTGTTCACAGTACCCACTTTCCATACTGGAGGCACTGGGTTCGATTCCCTCGAAGTGTAAGGCACACACAGTTTTTCTAATTGCGGGAGAGGTATCCAGACACAGGTACACCAATGTATACTTATGCCTGGGTACCTTTCTGGGGAGTACCCACAACACAACGGTGTTTATACATTGTTTCAACAAGAACCTTTCCTAACTGCAAACCCGCATGAGGAAAAGCACACTCTCGCCCAACGTCCCCTCTATAGCAAACTTCTCTACTCAATATGCAGAATCATTTGCCAAATACGTGCCTACAAAGAAATGCAACTAATATTCAGGAGAATCATTTTGCACGTCCCTGTAGCATGAGACAGCGAGGCGTGTCTGTCCTGTTGAAACCATGCATCTGCAGCAAAATCACTCAGTGGAATAGTCCAAGCTAATGTGGAATGCATTATATTTTTACTGTATCAGGCAATATGTGGTGGCGTACTACTCGAATGTAACATTGAAGGGTCACGATTCAGTAACTTAAAGTAGCCACCAGTGAGAGGCAGCAGTGGAAACAATGAAATACTGAACTGCATTTCCCTAGCGAGAGGTCAATGAAGCAGGCTCAATGAACTACAAGGTCTGGGAAAGCAGGTGCCAAGAGGTCTCTTGATTAATGTAAATATGCTTATTATTATGTACATTAGTCGCACAGATGGTTCATGGGTGCACATTGTCATTTAACTGCGTAGTTGTGCAAGGAATAGATTCTACATTAAGTGCAGCTGCAGAGGAAGTTTAGATATGTTGTACATACGAGTCGCAAGATTTATTAACTTTTGAAGATTTATCAATTTTATCAATTTTTTCTAGTTGGCATTTCCATGCCAACAAGATAGAAAACTCCATTCACCAGTCTGTATCTCATGCAAGATGATCACCATTATAAAGAAATAAAAGAAAAGTTTTCATTCCAGCGATGGGTTTGAATGTAGGCCCCCATGCTCTAAATGAGAATGTCTTGCAAAGTTTGAGCATATGTTCAGTGATTTCTATGGAAGTGGAATAAACTCTCTGCAGGGAAAAATGTAAAGCCAACAGACTGTAAGCATAAAAAATTCAGAATTTGTAAAATTTTGATGACAAACATGCAATAAAACTAAATGCTTATACATCACTTCGACAATTTTGAAAGGAGATTATGCCTATTTAAGTTAATTTTATGACGAACTAAAAATATGGGAGAAAGTTGACTAAACGTGGCAGTACGCAGTGAGATTTCATAACTACTTGAGCATGGCTTCGCAAAGAATCGGGAAGACACCACGACAACTTAAGCATGAGTTCCATAATAATTAGAGAGACATTACACACACTTGAGTATGGGTTCCCAAAGTAACACATGTGACACCCACCGCCACAACATGTTGGGCTTTGCCCTTCTGGGTCGCTATCAAGCTCAACTGTAAGCAGGGCAAAGAGGCCGAACTCTTGGACCAGGTCACAGCAAGCACCATGAGGCGTTCAGGCGACGCAGATGCTCGCGAGCCCGGTAGCTCCAGACCGAGTGCTCGCAAATGGCTCAGAACCCGGTGTCGAGGCACCGATCCTGAAAAACAACTCGCATGAGAAATTGAAAGGGCACCAAAGAGAAAACAGATTTTTCTTGCATTAGTAAATCAGCGCATTGATTATGAGAAGACATGTAGAGAGCGATAAAACACACTACTACCACCGCACTTACCGATTTATATACTAAGTTCCAAATCCACTGACAAGCTGGCCAGAGCATGCTTCCTCTTTTATGTGCCTCGCAAGCTAAACATCTTGGCAGAGACCGCTTTGTCATTAGCTAATTAAAACTGCTTTTTGAAATGTGCTGTTGGGGGTCTTGCAACTATCCGTCAGTCAACCCAATGTAGTACAACGGTATGAACCGAATACCTGCAGTGCTTGGCCATACTTTAGAAGAACCCTCGGACGTGTTTGCGTGCTGCATGGTCACCCTGGGTTTGAAGGGGTTTCGCGGCAGTGGTCTCACGATTACTTCGGGTCATACTGATATTGTAGGTTTTTTTTTTTTCTTTCGAAATTAGGTTGAGGCAGTTAATCAGATTTCAATTCAATTCAGTTTTATTTCATGTGTTCCCTGAAGGAAATGCTTTAATTGCTTAACAATGGCCTCGCCCCCCCACCCTTCCCCGGAGTTCACAGCAGGTACAATACAGAAAGCAAAACAGTAACACTTAAAGCCATACATATACAAAAATAATTAGGTGCAAAACGTAGTGGCAATCAAATGACACAACAGTGGTGATTGCTACAATGCAAAGTATTGATCATAATGGTGCAATGTGGTGATAACAAAAGAAAAGAGAAAAAGGAAAAAAAAAAGCCATTAGTGTACAATCCGGAAGAAAGGGAAAAAATTGGAAACACCAGGGGGGGTGAATCAGGGAGAGTTGCCAGGTATGGAGATGTCATATCGAACACCTCAGAGTTATCTTGTACAAACTTCGCACCTTTTTAAGATGCGTCATAATTCATGCCTGAAGGAGATCTTTTCGGACAGTGCATCTAAAATGTGCTGGTTTGTGCGCACTTGAGTGTACAGAAGCTATAACGAAGAGGCAACGCTAGCATGCATTACCTTTAACTGCACTCGCACCAATTTCTTCAGATTTGTGATCAAAATAGTTGGAGGTGATACCTACCACAGCATGAATCACTACCGATGAAATCCTTTAGGCGTTCTTGATACCGTTTAAGCTAACATCACCAAACACAAAGTTTGAAGCCCACATCTCTCAAAAGTGGTGATAAAAGAAGTGAAAATCTACAGCAGAAGACACTCCAATAGGTCCCACCTCATGACAAATGCTGGGGCCACATGCTTCCGCTTCTCTGGTCAGCCATCTTTACAGATTGCCTACGCAATAATTTTCAGTTTCGTTTTCTTTATTAACTTTTTTTCCCTCAAGAAAGACATAAAAGGTAGTAATGCCAGTGTGTGAGCTACAACATGTAAAATTACTCTATCACAGTTTGACCACCCCCGAGAGGACTCGCAAAGTGGAGTAAAAACTAAAATGAATCTAGTTTTCAGCCCAAAACAAACTCAGGATTGGCATTGGCAGGTGAACCATTATTTTACAGCAATCTGCGAATGATTGAAGGCTGCTGCAAAAATAGTGAAGTTGATTTCTGCACAAACGCCATGATGAATACGGTGATGTCAAAAGAAAGAAAAAATAATATTCACCTTGATTGTTGCAGTTGGTCCAGAAGGTGAATAAGGGTTGGATGCTTGACATTCCTGGACCTAGCGGGAAACAAGCACATTTTTCTTTTTTTACACTCGTGGTGAAACCGAGCTTAACTCTTTCACTGTCACTAACGTACCGGTAAGTTTTTGCATTCACGAAGTTTCGAAAAGATTCGGTTGAGCCAATGCGGCCAAAATACGAAAAAGCATCTTAAAATCGAAGACGTCACCATAGTACATTTAGGTGAAAAATTTTAAAAATTAATCTTTCAACAGAGATTTTCTCCTCTCTTATAAAATCTATGGCAGTGAAATTAACAGAACTGGAGTATTCATAGTAGGCTTTAATAGACGAAGTTAGTAATTTACTGTTTCACTTTGGTGTTCCTTGAAACATTCCTTGAAGAGCTTGTGTTAAATAAGAACAGCAAAAACTGAGCGCGATATTATTCGCGGTTGCGACATATGCGAGTGGTCAGTAAGCGCAGAGACGAACTATGGTACCTATTATAGCTTATTATAGGGCTTATGCAAGCCTTTGTGATGACTAAATTGACGACCAGCACACACTGAACAGCGACTACTGACAATGGACCCTTTTCATAATTCACAAGTTCACTTCCTTGCACTGCATATTTGCTGTTGTAATGGTGGCACTTGTTATGCGTCAAGTGGAGACACTGTGCTGGGACTTGTCTATTATGAGTGTTTATATCAAAAGAGACGACTCGACTTTTTTCACAGTCACTGTCTAAGCAAACTGCCCTTGAACAGCTAGGCCTGTCTGAAGTAAGCCACTAGCTACCATTACTTGTCCAACCTGTATAGCAGGCACAATATCTTCAATATTTTGAAAAGGGTCTATACCATTCAGGAAATCATGCATCCTGGTCTCGATCTCTGCTGCCAAGGCACCGTCCGCACCCGTGTAGGAGGCGTCCGGCGGTTGCTGCGACGGCCACTGGTCACACACGTACTTATAGAAGTCTTTGCATGGGTCCGTGTCCGACTTCAACAAGTAGCGCAGCATCTGTCCTGGGCGGGCACAATATGTACAGGGGGCGGTCAAAAGTTCCCAAGCCACTATCCCACGTATTCCTATGGGAATGTGGCCTGGAAACTTTTGGCCCCTCCCCTCCCCATTGTACATTCATCACTTGCACAACTGCTCCCAGCGACCACGCTTGTTGCACTCTGCGAACTCCTTGCTCATCTTCTCTGATCCCTAAAGATTCCTTTCACGAACAGGAAAAGAAAAGGATTGACTGCTCCTCTGATCTCTAAAGATTCCTTTCACGAACAGGAAGAGAAAAGAATTGACTGAGAGATTTTCAGTTGATATAGTAATTGTGGGTTTTACTTGCCGAAACCACGATGGTTTGAAGGTTTTATGGAAACAATGGGGCACTGATGGTTTAAGTACTGATATGATTGAGAGACACCATACTGATGGGCTTTGCAAATTCCGACAACTAGGGTTTCTTTGATGAGCACCTAAATATCAACACAAACATTCACACAATTCTCTAGCATTTTAACTTAATCAAAATGCAGCCGCCACCGCCGCAGGGATTCGGTGCTGCGACCTTTGGGCCAGCAGATGAGCACCATGACTACCATATTCACGCGATTGTAGATCAACCCATTTGGTCTTAATTTGAAATTCAAAGTTGAGGGGGTCGACCTAGAATCTAAAATGAGTGTCCGTTGTGAAGCCTTTCTAAAGATAATCTCCGAGTCTTTCGACAAAGCTAGCTTTGCTGCACAGCTATTAAGTACTGCCGTGAAACCAGCTTTGCACATCGGTGGTTTCACAATGGCGATGTGAATTTTTCTTTTTTTTTAAATAAAATGTGCTAGTGCTCTTCTCTTTTTTTTTATGCCGTGCCATTTTCGGCGATCGACCTACATTCGGGTAAATACGGTTCTTGACCACTGCGACAAGCAAGAGATTTTTCGTTGGCAAAGCAGGCATGTCTCAAACCTGCTCATGTCTTAGGCAGGGTGTGCCGTGCCATGAATTTAATTATCTCAAGAAAGTGCGACCTTTTCGGGGTTGCTGTTCGGGCAAGTTGGGTGTTCCATGCTGCAGCATGTATTAGCACAGCACATGAAAAAAGACACAACAAGCGCGAAGAGAAAGAAGGTAAACGTTATAAACTTCGAACTGCCGATTTCAAGCCCTTCAACCATGCTTTTTTTATACGCACCAAAACACAACTCATCTTGCACGTGTTTGTAACCCACGGTATGTCATTTCCTTTCCTGACAAAGACGTGTGTAAACTCCCTTTGCACACTTTTGTCAATAAAGAATATGATGTATATTGGGTTAGGAAAATGTGCAAAATGGGTTGTGTTCTGAGTATGTGCTCTGTGAGCAGGACGTGGCGGTGACCGGAGAAATGACGAACGTCAAAATCATTCGAACAGCCACTGATGTAGGGGACGGCAGAGACGACTGAGACAATGACAATGATGAACCAACTCGAGAGGCGCTTACATATTCTGAGACGAGAAATTTGCTGCGCTTGCTTTAAAATAAGGTTCAGTGCAGCGGCGGGGAAGATTGACTAATGTGATGTGTCAAGCAGCTGGAGCATGCCTTCTTAAGCTCAACTACGACCGCAAAGCAGACTAGCATTAGGCAGTTTTTCTCTGCTAAATAAAATGGTAGTGCAGCAATGGTAGTGCAGCCGGTTAAAGTCTCTTGTATGTTTTTTTTTCTCTTTTAAACCTACACAAGAAAAATTAGAAACTGCTGCTGAAGAGCCAGTAAACAGTAGTAGTGATTTTTTCGAAGCACGCTAATTTTTTCCAGCGACTAGTGCAGCTTTGCTTATTTCGAAAATCTGTTTATGTCAAAACTTTTCCTGCCTTTGACGACTTCGAGTTAACGAGGTATTACTGTATTCTGTTTAGAAAAATAAGGACATTACAATAGTCATGCATTCTGAACAACTTGCCTTCCTTCACACAGAACTCGGTGGTGCAGAGCTCATAGGATGCTGAGCTAGGTGTCATCACGGTTGGAATAAATGGTGAAGTTGCTAGAATGACAATATCACAATTCATGAAATAAACATACCCATGCCAGCAAAAAACGAAATTGCACTGTTTATTAAGAGAAGGAAGTTCAGATAGATTGAAGTTTCACGCAGGAAAGTAGCCATTCGGTAATGAAACATTCTTGAATGAAGCACTGTCTTTTAGCTGCGACTATTCCTGAAGGAATCAACTCACTACTATTTCCAATAGTTAACCAATAAAAACACATACCTGGTACAATAGTCACTCTAGTCCAACAGTTGCTATTTTACTATGCCACGGTGCTGAAAAATCTTAAAAGTCAATGAAGTTACATTGTAAAAGCACAGTGCGAGATGAAAGGCAGCTGAACGATGTTGCGATAGCACAAGATCTGAGTGCTTAAAAGGGCAGTAAACAACCTCACGATTCAAAATAATTTCTAATCATGAAACAACTGCGCACTTGTACAGTGTAAAAACGTTCGTTGCCGCAACAACTTCTCTAATAAGTGCTCTAGCAAGGAAGTAACAAGGTTTAGAACGAGTCGCTTTGGCTGGTTTCAGTTTCTCAGTCATCCTTGCCATTCTTTCCTCACAGCAGAGAGGGGCAGGTCTTTTGTCGTGACTATGCCCACTTTGTCAACATAACATCACGTCAGGGATCCAACAAACGAGCAAGGCTCCTTCACGTGTCACAGCGGCACTGAGGGGAAGCGCAGTGCAAGGAGTACAAGGATTTGGTGAGGTCTCCACCCTTCCCCTAGCTGTCAGGCAGGCACCTCTTCATCTCAGAGGTTTTCGTTCTGACAAGCACAGCTTGTCCCAAAACAGAAAAGAGTACAATTCTCCGTTAAAAGAGTCTATAGTCAGCCAGTGGTTCCATGCAGGGCCAATTTTCGTCGACGAGTACGCACTCAAACCTCATTATAGCAAAGCTGCATTTGACATGAAAAAAGGTTTGTTTATTCGAAAATTCGTTATAAAGGTTTACTCCTAACGCTATATCAACTACAAGACTATCTTTCATTTACTTCGTTATGACCAATACTTTCTTATATCCAGTTTCGTTATATCAAGGGTTGAGTGTAGTTACTCATCATCGGTCACTCTAGCACAAAATCTCGTGAATACTACACTCCTTAACTGGAGCAAAAGTGTTAACAGAATGAATGAATAAATGAATGAATGAATGAATGTAAGCTATGTAAAGCTATTAGAATCAAAGTGTCAGCATGGGTTTTCCTAAGCTAGCTGTGAAAGGCAGGTACACTCACTACCATGAATAAAGCTTATGCTCCACAATGAATCAATGTCGCAATGGTACAATATTGTAGACTAATTCACACCATGCACATGACAGTTCTTTGGAGGTCTTTAAAAAAAATGAAAATAATGAACTGAACGCTATATAAAGCTTTAACATCAAAATATCAGCACGTGTTCTTCTAGGCTAGTGGTGAAAAGCAGGCTGAACGGAAATAACAGCGCTGCGGTTTGTTCCCCCACTTTTTCTCTTCGCATCCACGTAGTCGTGCACCGTGCTGAAATAAATGTCTCAATGAAGTGAATTCAATTGAACTTACAACCGGTACCATGTGAGGGGGTAACAGTCCAAGTGTGGGGACCTAGCGTGACGGTCTTCCCGTTCAGGCTTGGGTCGATGGTTTGCAGATGACCTGAGCAGTCCGCAAGAGAAACAGTTTGTGTCTGCCAGGAAGAAGAGATTTACCAGAAATTCAAGAAGAAGGTCAGCTTACGATCGTGTGGAAGAACAGCCTGCCGCAAAATAGAAAGACAATCAGTACCATGAAATTGCACTGACACAGCAAAATTAATCACAAGAGCTATTGCCTTATTCAGAGGCACACACGCACGCTTGGGCACGTTGGCGATCAGCCAGTTTGTCAAGAACGGCACAAAATTTTTAATGAGGACAAAACTAAGATAAAAAACACAAAACAAGCACTGATCAAAAAGTTAAGTTATTAGGAAAAGCAATACATACGCATGGGAATGACTTGCAACTGCTCATGCGCATTTGTGATCACATGTCGGGAACACTGACATTATCATAAAAAAAACCATTTCGTGTACGTGTGCTTACATGTTACGAGTTATCAAGATGCACAAGCTCTTCATTTGAAGAGATACGAAAGCTTGGATGACGCATTCCTCTCCCGACTTGTTAACGTTGTACGCTTCTAACATTTCTCGGTGAAACTGACTTGTTTTCATAAAGAATGCTGGTCTTATCTAGAAGTGGCACACTTTTGTGTTCATGACAGTGCATAGAAGCTGTCGTATGGTTTTCCTCCTCGTTCTGTCCTCCTTCGGAATTCTGCAGTGTCCTTGACGAAATCACTCATTCAAACACACAGCAGCAGAGGTGCGTTGAAGTTTTTCTACAACGCAGCAAGGTAGTTACACTTGCCTTGAACAGAAGCGGCAGCACACATCGAAACGAGACGTTTGGAGAAAAGGCCAGCACAAGCAGCACGTTTTTCTGCACTACGCGCCGTCCCCGTTTCCATGTGCACTACCGCATACCATCATGACCAATAAAACAGCACACCAATATGCTTTACAGCTGCGCACTTATGGACTATTTTTACAGCGTGCCATACGCCATAAAAACATATTTTACATGTGGGAACGTGTGGTACTTTCACAAGGCACCACGATAAAAAGTTCTCCTTTTCGGCTTGAGCAATATTTTTTGGGCTGAACAGTATTTACTGCAAAAAACACCGCCTTATCGGAGGTAGCACAAGGCGGCAGAGGAAACGTGAACAGGTTTGTCAATTATGTTGACAAAAAAAAAAGAAGTGCTACTGTAAAGCACAACTTAAGATAAATAATGTCACATAATGACATAAAAGCATTAACAATGCTGTAAGTTTTAATTGTTTTCTCATAATGACATGTAGCAACACAATTGCCAGGGTTAAACGGAAGGTCAGGTAGAGCGCCAGTGTCACAAAAAGCTTAATTTGAAGGATGAACATCCAAATAGTACATGCATAACAAGCCTTGCAAGACGACTTGACTGCATCTCAAATGAGTAAGCAAAGAGGATTGGATTGGATTGGTTGGTTGATTGATTGGTTAGATAGATTGGGAGCTATGTGAGCAGACATAAACCTGAGCAACATGAAAGAGTGGCTTGCAGCCAACTTACTGAATGGTGGTATGATGTATGTAACGTTACTGGAATGAACGGCCTCTGAAAAAAAAAAAAAAAAGCCAACGTGGCACATCATCAGGATGACGTAGCTTATCTTCCAAGATCATTTTACACATTTTTATGAAGACTTACTTTTGGTGCCTTCTGCTGAAATAGAAAGACCTAAAAAAAAAAAGAAGAGCATTTATAAGGTGAGCAAATATTTCAAGTGCATACATTTTCCAATTGCTGATGTAGTTTCAAGCTAGTTTCAAAATTTTTTTTTCTTTTTTTGTAGAAGAAAAAGTCGAGTTATAAATTAAAAAGAATTGTTGACCTCAACATGCTAATTTAACAATATATTATAAAGAAGATTTATTGAGTGTAGAGCTGGTCACTGATAAGCCAACGAACCAGCCGCAGTTCACGAGCTCAAGCCTCCGCTGCAGTCTTGAATAGTAGGTGCATTATGGCTACGTAACTGGCTTTTTCGGTGACTTCTAACTGTAGCATATCTATTTTTTTTACTCGAGCAACTAAAAATTCAGTGCAGTTAGGTTTCATGCAAAAATGATAACTTTAATCAATTAGCATAAATAAAACATAATCTCACCTAACAACAGATGATGACACTTCAAATGACACTCGTTGTTGGGCTAGTTGGTGCATTGCATCAGGAAAAAATATATCCTGCCAATAAAATAACAATCACCAGAAACGAAGAAGACAGGAAAGTGGCTAGTTACTATGATTGGGTCCTATCTCAAAACAATATAGGCAAAGAGCCCCCCCCCCCCCCCCCAAACACAGGAAATATACATCGCTTTTGTAGAATCTTTACCTATTGCCTTTACCACTTTCCTGTCTCCGTCTTAGATTCCTATGTTCTTTATTTTATTGGCTAAATATATTTCTTCCTGATGGCACTCCAGTGATGAAAGAAAAGGCCAATTTGTTGACCAGAGTATGCTTATCACGAAAAGCCTACAGCTTTTCGCTGCTTTTTTCAAACTAATGTTCACGACCTTTTTACAATGTACCTTGTCTCGCATCTAAAGAGACCCAATTTTATACTTTCACCTTTCATATTTTAGGTCCAATGAAATATACTGTTTGTAACATTTTAATCATTACTTTTTCACTAATGGCAAAATACCAACACCACCCATTCATAGTACCTACAGTTAAAGCAAGTTATGCAGTCGAAAACTGTAATTTCGGCCACGGAAGGGTTACTTCATTGCTTCAGGTAACTTAAAACATATTTCATTACCTTTTGCTGGCAATGTGTTTGTGATCTATGATGGAATAGTAGAACCAGCAATCACATAACTATATGGAGTGATGAATCAACAGCCACTGGTCATACATCAGTTATTCCCAGTTTTAACAACCCCAAATGTACAGTGACATACATTCTATGGGATATGGATTGAAAGCTCTGTTGTGCTTAAATTCTATTTGAAGCGTCTTCGAAGAAGAACTTGGTAAGAGCACGTATATACCTCATAAAGGAAAAGGGGGGATGAGCGCTGAAGCTCAGTTGGTAGATCACCCGACGTGTTATTCAAATGTTGCAGGTTTTGAAGCCTGCCAGTAGCAAGTAATCTTCAAGCCTAATGAAATAGCAAATTTTGAAAGAGGTTGACATTAATTGCATAGTAACTTGAGACGTACAAATGACTAACTGACAAAATAACTCGAATGCCAACGCAGGCTTCGAAATTTCTTTCTTTGCACTTTCTTTCTAGAACTCACTATCATCAATTATTAAATCAAGGCCCTCATTACATTGTTTCCATTGGCATCTAAAACAGTTCTTACTAACAACATGCGACACCTGAATATATATGTATGTGTATATATATATATATGTGTGTGTGTGTGTGTGTGTGCGTGCGTGCGTGCGTGCGTGTGTGCGTGCGTGTGTGCGTGTGTGTGTGTGTGTGTGTGTGTGTGTGTGTGTGTGTGTGTGTGTGTGTGTGTGTGTGTGTGTGTGTGTGTGTGTTTAAATACGGTTGTATGCATTTATGCGTATGTGTATAGGTTCTGAAGTGACACTGTATTAGTTAGTGATATGTATGTGTTATGTTATAGTCATTTAATCCAATTAGTTATCTCTTGTTTTATCACTTACATGTAAATATTTTGAACTACCATAAGTTTCAATAATAATTTTCATTACGTTCATTTTGTTTTATTCGCTTGCTGTTTTTTTCCTTAGTTGCCAATCTTCGTTCTATATTTTATACATGAATTCACAGGAGGTCCCCCTGACAGTTTTTACTTTGGGACCTCCTTCTGTATTATATCAACTTTTTACTTGCACTGTATTGTACTGAATAAAGAGCTTTATCTAAAAAAAAAGCCCACTTCCCTCCCTTCCCATTTACATCACAATTACTACACATAATTACATAGCATAATCTGTACATTAGTTGGCATCGTTGGCTGTTAGTTTTTATTACTACTGCATCTAACAATGTTTTAAAAATGAGCCCTCAAAAATTTCCCCTTCTTCATAGTAAGAAAAAAACTTGTGACAAAGATGAAGACCCACAGAACAGTACATTAGGGTGATCTTCTCAACCAACCAACACCAAAGCGAACGACATCGAAACAAAGCACTTCAACTCACGCGCATGTCGGCGTGTTGTCCAAGAAAGAAGAGCAGCCGATGCGACCAGCGCCAAAAGTAAGGCCAGAAGGAAACAGGCCACGGAAACCTCGGGTAGCATGGCAACCACTTTAGTAGATCTCGTCACACTGCGACGTTTAGAGTAACTAATGAAATGGCAAATTTTGAAAGAGGTTGACATTAATTGCATAGTAACTTGAGACGTACAAATGACTAATCGACAAAATAACTCGAATGCCAACGCAGGCTTCGAAATTGAATATCTCGAAGTAGGAGCTGAGAATATGTCTCAAATGAACGCACCTCGTAAACTCAACAGCTATGATTTCTAGTAAGCTGCAATTATATGCTCTTAAAAGGGCCCTGACGCACTTTTTCGAGTAACCATGAAATGAATCCACTGGAAGAGCTTATTGCCTCACAAATTCAACGCCGTACAAATTTAAAGGATCGGTCCAGTGTGAGTAGAGTTACAAAGCTTTGTCGCATGCTGCTATTGCATTCTCTCTTCTCTCGTCCCGACGAAAATGCTGGAAGCTAAGCAGGGAGAGATGGCAGGCACAAAGAAAATACGTCAGGTGCGCCTTGAGCACTTTTGTTTTTGTTCGAACGTGCAACTTTTTCAGAATGATCGCACGTGAACGGCTGGACAAGTCGCGGCCTTTCACACGATCTCTATGACGACCAAGCGCATTATGTTCAAATCAGCCAATGGCTGATAGATGGGCCTTCAAAGAGTAGTTTTTGAGCATCTTACGTCATTGGTTGAGCAATTTTTAGCTGACTTTGATAATTTATTGTGAATTCTAGACAGCATGCTGTGCTATAATATTTGGCTCGCGTGTTGTCGGGAGCCTTTACTACCAATTCAGCAGCGTTTTCTGACCATGCTCAAAAAGTGTTGTAGGGCCCCTTCAAGTCATTACATATAAAATACTACATTCATACACTTCATTTGTGAAAATGGCAATTAGATTATACATTTTGATTGACCACGTGAGAAACATTTTCCTTTCCAAGTAATACAGGTTAGTCGCTACATTGTGAGATCTGCTATAGGCATTTTTGTAAAAAATTCTGTGTGTAGTATACAAAGCAAATTGCAACGTTGTGGCCCTCTTGTGAAAACAGAATGGAGGTCAGCTGTTTTGGCATGCTGCTTGGAACAACTACTTGACCGAAACTACATTGCACTACCCTAATCTACCACAAAAAAAGTTAATCGACCAACAAGTATGCCATAAAAGCCCTTTCGTGCAGGACCTATAATGTGCGAAAACAATGCTCAAATATGGGAAAATGAGCCATTCAATGTCACACATAGTGTGAGCATGTTTAATGTGATATGAAGCATTTACTACCCAGGACGACAGTTCCCCGTTTATTTCACCATCTTTGGATTACTTCTAACGCTGGCACTGTTCATATGCACAAGTTCTTGCTAGGAGCACAAAAGCTTTAACTTCACTAGAGATGTTAATTCATAAAAATAATAATATTAATAATGTAGTGAAGAGGAATGCCCAATACTGCAGCGACATCGACACGTTGGCGCGAGGCACGAGCTAAGACTGCCTGGTTGCTGCTGCGACGCTGCCCGTATACTCAGCCTGCTCTTGCTGCTTCGGTACCGACGCCGCTACCGCTGTTTACCTTGCATTTACGTTATATTTTGGTGGAGAGTGCTGCAGTCTTCCCCAGTCCTGGAACTCCGTAGCCGAAAGCTGCCGTCCGTCATGCCTGACGACGCTGTCTTCACACCCCCACCGGCTTCACCACGCAGGGGCTGTCCCGGTGCCCAGCTCTTGCGAGAACCAGACATCTTCAGCGGCACCGATGAAAAAGACGTTGAGGATTGGCTGGAATCTTATGAACGAGCCAGTGCTACTAACAAATGGGACGATCCCGCGAAGCTTGGTGCCGTGATGTTTTATTTAACAGATGTTGCCAAGCTATGGTAAAGAAACCGTGAGGCGGATATCCCCACTTGGACGACCTTCAAAGCCTGCATCACAGATGTTTTTGGACGCCCTGGTGTGCGAAAACTTCGCGCAGAACAACGTCTACGAAGCCGGTCCCAACAAACTGCTGAAACATTCACTAGCTACATCGAGGACGTCCTCGACCTCTGCCGGCGTGTCGACCCGAAGATGGCGGAAACTGACAAGGTACGACACATAATGAAAGGCATTTCCGACGACGCCTTTCAAATGCTGCTCTCGAAGAACCCTGTCACTGTCTCTGAGCTCATCGAGTTGTGTTAGAGTTTCGACGAGCTCCGACGACAGCGTCTCCTCACGCGACGCCCTAACGTCGCGGATGACACACTCTCAAGCCTAACCACCACCTCTGACCTTGAGTCCCTGCTATCGCAGATCAAGGAGTTTGTTCGTGCTGAAGTCGCTCGTCAGCTATCACTGCTATCGACAGTCGGCCAACCACAATCACCTCTTCCAGCAAACCTTCGCCAGGCCATCCAGGAGCAAGTTTGCGTGGCTCTGCCATCTGCCCGTGACGCTTCATCGTTGCCTGTGCCGAGGTAACTGCACCTCTAAGCTATGCTGAAGTGGCCGCTCGACCACCTCTTCAGACTTTTACGTCACTGCCATCAGCCATGTCACCACGACCTACTCCTCGGTTCGCTCAGCCAAGGTCTCTCCAGAGTAGTGGACAATGGCGTACAGTCGACAATCGGCCAATATGCTTTGCCTGTGGCCTACCTGGCCACATAGCGCAATACTGCCGTCGACGTGTCCCTATCTACCACCACCACATCTAGCACCAGAGCTTCGAACCTGCCCCTTATGTGTCACCGCGCCCTTCAATCACAGGATCTCAGCCTCCTGACCAGATGTCATCGTACGCCGACTACCGCCCTCCAGTTAACCGTCACTCACCATCACCTCGACGCCGCTCGCCATCCCCGATGCGCCGTCGGCCTTCATCGCCGGAGCGGGAAAACTGATTGCCGCAGTTCCAGAGGCAGGAACTGCGTCGCCCGCGAAAAGACCAAGGCCTCTCTCTTCCCCAACGAATGTTCTCGACGTATACATGGACGGCGTCGCTGCACTCGCTCTTGTCGACACTGGTGCCACAGTTTCAGTGATCAGTGCCAGACCCTGCCGCTTGCTTAAAAAAGTTATGACGCCAATAGCAAGTATATCACTTCGTACAGCCAGCGAAGAGCACGTCACGCCAGCCGCTGCCTGTACTGCTCGAATCGCGATTGATGGCCTCATCTATGTCGTCGAATTACTAGTTTTAGATTCCTGTTCCCATGATCTCATTTTGGGTTGGGACTTTCTCTCCGCTAATAAGGCCGTCATCGACTGCTCTCGCGCTGAGGTAGAATTTGAAGTGTTTGGCGACGCTCCGTGAAATGATGCACTTGGAACCGGGGACAAACTATTTGTTGCTGAAAACGTCATCATACCGCCGCACTCTTTCGCCCTTACCATGGTATCTTGCAACTCGCTCGCCGAGTCGAGTGCCCTTTTCACGACATCTGCCCTTTTCGTTCGCCGCAAGTGTTCGCCGCTACCTTATTCCCTTCTAGAACTTCTTGATGGCGTCAGCAGACTGCTCATCTCGAACCTCTTGTCATGTCCTGTAACACTACTTCGGGGTGAGTGCGTCGGGCGGGTTTACAGTCTCGACCCTTCTGCAATTTTTGACATGTCGACTGGTTTTTCCGCCAAACACGAAGTCGCCGGAGTGACTTGTGCCTCTTCGCCGCAGACTACTAGGCCTGACGTACTCAGCAGCTCCATCGCCGACACACTAACCATTTCGCAACGTGCTCAGCTGCTACGACTGCTGGAGAAGTTCCGTCCTTCCTTTGACTGCCAGCATACTCCCCTCGGCCGCACGTCCGCTGTGTGTCACCGCATCGATACGGGTACCAATGCGCCATTGCGTCAAAGACCTTATCGCGTGTCCGCAGCCGAGCGCCAGGTTATCGATGACCAAGTAGCTGACATGCTCAAGTGTGGCGTCATCCAGCCTTCGAATAGCCCCTGGGCATCTCCAGTCGTTCTTGTTAAAAAGAAGGACGGGTCAATTCGCTTCTGTGTTGACTACCGTCGTCTTAACAAAATAACTCGAAAAGACGTTTATCCCTTACCGAGAATCGACGATGCCCTTTACTGCCTCCAAGGTGCGGAGTACTTCTCTTCTATTGACCTACGGAGTGGCTACTGGCAAGTCCCTCTGGCCCCTGAAGATCAGCCTAAGACGGCCTTTGTCACACCTGATGGCCTTTACGAATTCTGTGTCATGCCTTTTGGTCTTTGCAACGCCCCCGCAACATTCGAGCGGATGATGGACAATCTTTTGCGTGGCCTGAAGTGGAAAACATGCTTGTGCTACTTGGATGACGTAGTTATATTTTCACCAGATTTTCCAACGCATCTCCGCAGGCTAGATGAAGTACTGCAGTGCCTAACTAACGCTGGCCTTCAGCTCAACCTGAAGAAATGCCGCTTCGGCGCAAATCAGCTCACCATCCTCAGCCATGTTGTCTCTAAAGACTGTATCCTTCCTGACACCGCCAAGCTTCGGGCAGTTGCAGAGTTTCCTAAACCTGCGTCCCTGAAGGATCTGCGCAGCTTTCTTGGCCTCTGCTCCTATTTCCGCCGCCGCCGCTTTATTCGGAATTTTGCGATGATCACCGCCCCCTTGACTGAACTTATGCGCAGTGACTCGAAAAGTTACGCTTGGTCACCCGCCTGTGAAGATGCTTTCGAAAAGTTGCGCCGCCTGTTAACCTCGCCGCCAATCTTGCGTCACTTTGACCCGACTGCTCCGACTGAGGTACACACCGATGCCAGTGGTGTTGGACTCGGCGCAGTGCTCGCGCAGTGCAAATCAGGATTCAAGGAGTACGTAGTCGCATACGCAAGCCGTACCCTCACCAAAGCGGAGAAGAACTATTCTGTGACAGAGAAGGAGTGTCTGGCAATTATATGGGCTCTAGGTAAATTTAGACCATACCTATATGGTCACCCCTTCGACGTAGTCACCGATCACCATGCGCTTTGCTGGTTATCCACATTGAAAGACCCCTCCGGCCGTTTAGCTCGCTGGGCTTTGCGGTTGCAAGATTTCGACATGGGTGTTGTCTACAGGTCTGGTCGACGTCACACTGATGCCGACGCCCTATCACGTTCCCCTGTGTCCTCCGAAAGCTCTGCATGTCTATCTGCCGTGGACGAAATGGTGTCGTTCCCAGAAAACTGTGACATGGCGTCTGAGCAGCGTAAGGATGACTGGATCAGCACTCTTCTGCGATTCCTTTCAGACCCGTCGACTTCTCCATCTTCTCGAACGTTGCGCCGTCAAGCAGCTCACTTTGAGGTCCGCGATGGCCTCCTTTATCGCAGGAACTACAAGTCCGACGACCGAAAGTGGTTATTCGTCATACCTCGCCATCTTCGTGCTGCAATATGTTCAGCTTTCCACACTGACCCTCAGTGCGCACATGCGGGCGTCTTCAAAACATACGCTCGACTTTCCTCCCGGTTTTATAGGCGAGGCATGTACACCTTTGTGCGCAAATACATTCAGTCATGCCCTCAGTGCCAACGACGCAAAGCTCTCCCTCATCATGCCTCTGGTCCAATCCAGCCAATCCCTTGCCCAGCCAGGCCTTTCGACCGCGTTGGAATTTATCTGTATGGGCCTCTACCATTCACGGCTTCCGGAAACCATTGGATCGTTGTCGCTGTCGACTACTTGACGCGATACGCGGAAACAGCCGCTTTGCCAGCTGCCACAGCACGCGACGTCTCATCTTTTCTCCTGCGGAACTTCATTCTGCGTCACGGCGCACCACGTGAACTTCTCAGCGACAGAGGACGTGTATTCCTCTCTGAAGTCGTCAACGCACTCCTTGCCGAATGGCGTATCATTCACCGGACTACCACCGCCTACCATCCGCAGACGAATGGATTGACGGAAAGATTCAACCGTACCCTAGGGGATATGATATCAAAGTATGTTGCCTCAGACCACTCCGATTGGGACCTCATTCTGCCTTTTTGTGACATACACCTACAATACCACTTCACAGGCGACTACGGGCTTTTCACCATTTTTCTTGTTATATGGCCGAGACCCTTCCACCACACTAGATACCATTCTGCCCTACCACCCCGATTCCTCCGAGTCTACGCCCATCTCTGAAGCTGCCCGCCGCGCCGAGGAATGCCGTAAGCTCGCCCAGTCGTTCACAACAATCGACCAATGGAGACAAAAATCTCGCCGTGACGATAACCACCCGTACCCTAACTTTGTTCCGGACACTCTTGTTTGGCTTTGGGTTCCCGCTGTGCCTACAGGCCTTTCCTCGAAGTTTTTTTCAAAATACCAGGGACCCTACCGCATTGTCTCGCAGACTTCACCAGTTAACTACATCGTCGAACCCGTTACGCCATCCACAGACCAGCGCTTTCGGGGACGTGAAATTGTTCACGTACAGCGGCTGAAACCTTATTATGACCCGCTCGTACTCTGTTCACCGTGAGTCGCCAGGATGGCTCCTTTTTCGACGGGGGACAAAGTGTAGTGAAGAGAAATGCCCACTACTGCAGCGACATCGACACGTTGGCGCGAGGCACGAGCTAAGACTGCCTGGTTGCTGCTGCGACGCTGCCCGTATACTCGGCCTGCTCTTGCTGCTTCGGTACCGACGCCGCTACCGCTGTTTAACTTGCATTTACATTATAATAATAATGTTTATTTTTTATCAATTGTTTGATGAAAGACAGCTGCAGGTAAAAGCTGCTCTCCAAAAGAGGCAGCTTGGCAAAGGCCCACAGCCACCTTTTAGCACGACAGTAGTGGCAAACAATCAGCAATGGGAAGTAAACAACAGCACCAAATAGGTAAATAAATAAAAAATAAATAAAGATATAAAAATCAAGTCCAAATTCCAAAAATAAAAATAGCAACCATAATACAGCAACTGCAAAGAAATCTTAAAAAATAAACATGTGTATATCGTGCAATTGAATCTGTGCACAGTGTAAAAAATCTATGCCAGCTTTCACATATTTATTAAGTAATGCAGGAACATTGTAAGATAACTTATCTGTGGAGTAGTTTATTCTCAAGTTTTTATTTTCCATGTTTCTTAATTTCGTGTTTCAAACAATGTAATATTTGGCTGTAGTTTTGAGAGGTCATACAAAAATGTCAACTTTCTTTCAATTCACGCCTGATTGCCAATGCTAACTTAAAATTGTAGAGAGAATGTACGGGTATTATTCCAGCCTGTTGAAATAATTCGCTTGTGTGAGCATCATACGGCAAGTTAAAAATGGTTCTAATATACTTCTTTTGCATCAGGTACAGTTCTTTCAAGTTCGTGTAAGTTGTAGACCCACCTATTGAGAAAGAATAGGTAAGATGTGAATAGAAAAGTGATTTATAAAGTAGAGTTTTACCTTGTATCGTGGAACACTTTTACCACTGTACACGATACCCACTATGCGAGATAACTGACCCAGCACACTGTCAATGTGTTCGCTCCAAAGCATGTTGCTCGAAAATGTAACTCCAAAATTTTTATACTATTTACTAGCTCAATATAAGAATCGCCTTACTCGAGATGTATGTTTTCATTAACGGGCTTATTTTTAGGTCGGAATAGTACCGCCTTTCTTTTACTAGTGTATATTCTTAAACATGAGTAGTTTACCGTAAAACGCCAAGCAAGTGCCCCCAGCCTGAGCAAGCACCCCCTTCCTTTTTCCAGGAGATCTTAAATAAAAGCCATTGACCGGCCGGGGACCAAGCAAGCACCCCCCTTCCAAATCTGGTCAGACTACCCTTCTCAGTAGCAGGGGAGGCGCTGTTTGGCATTTTTAAATAGCTGCACCACCACACTAAGACTCAACATAGCAGCTCATTTCTCTATGAAACACCAAAAACTCACTTGCTAGTTGTTTCAATAGAAGACCTCCTGCCTGCGCCTGGGACAGTTGAACCATCTGCCACAAAACTGGCAGACCCGAGAACCGCACAGGTTTCCGTGTGGTCGCCTTCCCCTGAATAATGTTCCGCATGCGAGAAACCTCGGTGTCCGTAGTCCTGCTCACCATCAGGTCCCACGTAGGGCCCCTCGGAGGTGCCCTTGTCTTCCATGTTGGGGTGCTCAGGAATCAAACCCTGCTGCTTCCTCAGCATCAGAAGCTGTGCTAATTTTCCACCGATGCCAACCTTTTGCTCCACTACAACAGGGGCCCAACCATGGCTTGCCAAACAAGGACACAGAGCTGGTGAACGAGGAGGTGGCGATAGTGGGGGAGGGCTCGGAGGGATGTCCCTCGTCTGCAAAACTTCCGGCAAGTGGCCGCACGGGTAAACTTCAGTCACAGGCGCCGCACTGGTGTGCCGAGATATCGAGGGACCCCAGGCACTACTGGCAACCGGTGCCAAAGGGCTTGCCTGGATCATTATGTCGTGTCCAAGACTTCTGGTTGGCTCGACAACTTGCCCGGTGAACTCGTCGTGAGAAAAAGGCCCTCCAAGCGGACTTCTACGAACGTCGGCAAACCTGTCGGTCTGGTGCGCCGTGTCTTGACCAGGTGAAGTGCATCGCGAGGAGCTCATTGGGGACATTCCGAACAGACCAAGACCGTACGAAGGTGACGAGGAAGGTGACACCGTACGCAGCACCTGTGGGCCCGCAAATGTCTGAATGGCCACCTCTCTGAGTGGTGTTCTCGAGGCAGGTTCCCTAGAGAGTGACCGAGACCTCACACTTACGAGGTCCTGGTCTACAAAGTCTTGGTTGCGGTGAGGAGCCCTCACAGCAACCGGCTCCTCTGTCTGAAAGATTGCGTCCCTTGTCCGAGCTGCTTGGGACAGACGTCCTGGATAGCTGCTTATGTTCAAAGTGCAGGGATGGCTCACAGTGTTCCGTGAGCAGACTGCAACACACGGGTGTAAGGCTGTCTCTAATCTTGGAGCCGAGAAGGCAAACGTTGGTGACGCACGGTGACGGCTGATTTCACCGACTTGTGTGCCAGCACTCACAACGTGAGGGACCTCTGAATTGCCAAACATAAAAACGGACGATGTGCAGCTGCTCAGTGATGGCCCCGACTGGATGCGGGACATCGGTCTCCAAGGAAATCTGCGATCCGCAAAGTCGCGTGGCTTACTGTCACCGACAGCCATGTCTACCATTTCATACAAGCTGTTTGCTGCTGCAGGCGGTGGAGACATTGCAACAGAAATGTCGTGCTGCATTCCAAAGTCTTGCATTGGCATGCTTCCAGCCCCATAGGTCATTTTCATGCCCCAGTTTTTCGGTTTATAACCATGCTGCTGTTCAGCATCCTGCATTGGCTTTTGCTGAGGCATGTAAACGTCTCCTTCAGGCCAGCCCACTGTTCCATAATCGTGTTGCTGCGCAAAATCACTGCATAGTTCCACTTGTGGCTGCCCCCACCTTTCTCTCTTGCTGCTCCAAATCATACATAGTTCTGCTTTGGACTCTGGAAAGCAGACCTCATGACAACTCTCTCAGGTTCATATACACATTGTGCTCCAAAGTCACGCATTGGCTGCAAAGAAGGCTGCATGTCCTTTGCAAAGTCTTCAACAGGATCATGCCCAAATTGCACTTCAGCGTCACAAGAGGGCCTTGCAGGCGTCACATGCATAGTTGCTCCATCAAGAGGCTGATAATTGCACTGAACAAAGGCTTCTTGATGCCCATCAACATTCTCATACTTTTGTTCTACCTTCACAGCAGTGATGTTTGCTGTAGTCTGGACAAAGGGCTGATAGTCACACTGCACCTCAATATTACAGTGTGGTTTTTCGGCCAATGCTAAAGGCAACTGAGGAGCCCGAGAAACGTCCCCATGCAGCATGCTGAAACCATGTTGCTGCAGAGGATTCAGGTCATTTACCTGGAGAAACAGTAGTCGAGTGCATGAGCATTTCAGTTCCGACTTCCTTCACACTGCTGCCCAACTTGAAATTTTCTGAGCGACACTACTAGACATTGGAGCCACAGATTCAAGAGAAAATGTTTGAACTGCCTGACTTTCTGTACGTAGGTACGGCACTTCAGTCATGCAAATCCGCAGCGGGCTCGCTGAAGTCTGTGTTGTTCCATCTGTAAGAACTGTTTTATAAGCACCAATTACGGGGGACACTTGAGCTCCCTGAGACACACATTGTGCTTGGAGGGTTTGCCCTGTTAGCATCTCTTGTGAGGAAACACCTGTAGTCTGCATTGTCCAATGCTACATGGGGATCTGAAAGCCAGTGTATTGAAAGCAGTCGCCGCAAAAGTGTCTTGGTACTCCATTGCCTGTACACCAAGTGCCACAGAAGGTGGTTCTTCCTGTTGTTGCACAGTGTGCATACGAGAAGCCAAGTGATCTGGCTCATATGATCCTCCACCGACTTGCACCTCCACTGCTATCTGCGGTGGCACAGTTGGCGGCCGAACTACGTGTACGACTAACAATAGGCTGCAGTGCTCCTGTACGTTCTAGAACAAAATGTGTTCCAGACCCTGCACAAGCTGGTTCCTCAGGTTTTTGAATTTCTGCACTCCACATGTCTTACTATTCACTTCGATGGCTTCTTTCTTAATTTCTACATTTACTGTAGCCTCTGGGACATCTGGAGGCTCTGGACCAATACGATACTGACGTGCGACAATGTGTGTATCACTGCAAACTCTGGCAGTTAGAGGGCTGGAATGCCTGTAATGTGGCTCTGAACTTTGCTGGCTAAATTTAACTTCAGCTGGCCCCATTATTGCATGCTCAGTTTGTGTTTCGTACGTCCCGCAGGCAACGCCAGCATGCATGTGGGCTGCATCATGGCCAAGCTGTGCCTCCTTACACCAGAGCTCTTGAACTGTTGGATAAGTCTCTGTTCCCAATGTTGCCTGGGCAATTGGTGCACCTTCCGTACTCATGCTGTTCAGACGACACACGTACCTCCTTGGTGATCTGAATTCCACCCTCTCGTACGAGGGACTTGCCAGCACTTTCCACAATGCGTCCTTGACTCTACACTTACACATCTGGATGGTAGCATCTGTGAAGTCTGGGTGGACGGCACTCTGTGGACTGTGCAACGTTCAGGGCTAACACGCGATCGCACCTCAACATCTGTCAGCGATGTCGTTTGTGAAGCGAAATCCTCCAGGGATAATCGACAAGGTAACGACACGCTGCGAATCTTCCTTGACAAACGTGATGGTGCTTGACCTTTTCTGCGCGACACCACAATATCTTGCTGAAACTCTTCTGTCATAAGCTCCTGTTGGGGATGCTGTTGATTCCATTGCTGCTGCTGCATCATTTGGGAGCCTTCTGGCATGTATGAACCCTGCATCCACTGAGACTGTCCCGTTTGCCACTGCATTCCCGGCCAGAACGGCTGATACGGGGGCCAATGTGGCTGCTTGCAGTGGCATGCCAAATGCTTGCCCATAAATTTGAGCCTTGATCTTGACTCTGCATCATCTGCGCTTGCCACCCATACGGTGGAACTATGCCATACTGCTGTGGCATGTAGCCCTGGCCTGCCTGCATGCCAGCATACATTGGTTGTGGCATGGGCGGCGACATCGGTGGTGGCATCATTAAAGTCGGGGGCAAGGTTAGCGGCGGTGCTGGTTGTGACCAGGCTGCAGTGCCTGCCGTCTCTCCCTGCAATGGCCCCAAATGGACGAACGTCTCTTGCTTGTGAACTGCAGCCTCGACGACGCGAACAGCTGGCAGTTCTGCTTCTTCCGCACCTGCTGGACCATCTTCATCGTATTCTTCCACTGGCTTCTCCTCCTCAACGCACTCTTCGTCTTCGTCGTCAACTTGGTCTATGGTGACAAACGTGGGCAAGTATGACCCGACAGGAAGCAACTGGAAGATGCCAGCTACAGAAGTGTCTTGTTCCTGCTGCTGTTGCTGCAGTTCTGTGGTGGTCGTGGTGGTGCTAACTTCGTCTTCTGTTTCAGTCACAGCCATGGGAGCGTTGTAGCCGGCAATACAAATTCCCTGGTCGGTGAACACAACTGGCACAGACTGACCCATGGGCAAAATACATTAAACCCTGTTGGTCCCTGAATCGTCTGAGAGGCGATACCCAAAGCAGTGGGGCCCTGCTGCTGCACGTTCACCGAAATTTCAGAGCTGGGTGCCTGGACAACCTGCAATGTGCAATGTACTTGCTCTAGTTCATTAAAGGTAGAATCATATCACATATGCATTCTCTTTTATCCAGCCCTATAGTTGTTTGAAAACGGCAGATTCTTTTTTTCCAGTAGCAACCTGATTATTTGCTGATTGATGAAAGCAGTGCAGCCTGAATTATTACAAGGTGGGGGAGAAATGTTTCATCATGTATGCAATATGAACAAGCTGCTGAGCTAGCAGTCAAACGGGGAAAAATGACGACACACAAGGAGCAAAGTGCAACCAATGTTTGTCCTATTTCTGTTGTTGTTACCTGGTGTAGCCAGTTTTCACCACTGTGTGAAAGTGCCACCAGGAAGGAAGCCTCCCAGCATCTAAAAACACATACGAACACTATGTACACATTAAGATTTTGACAATGTTCATTACATTTTAAGCAATTAGTTATTATTATTGCAAACTTTGTGGATATTCAGTTTATATTTCATTGTTACGGTACTTTTTTAGTGTAGAATACCATAGATCACACACTATATATATATATATATATATATATATATATATATATATATATATATATATATATATATATATATATATAGTGCTGTGCGGGAGAGCGGGCGCCTCTGAGTGAAATACCGCGATTCCTACCTTGGCTCCGCCTTTTTACTGTGACCACGGTGGCTGCGACTGGCTGTGGATGATGGAGGTCCTTCTGCCTGATCCCTTGTGCGGGAAGCCATAGCTTCCGTAGTCTAGGGCCGTTTCGTTCGCATTTCGCCGCGGTTATAACGGAAATCGAACCAGCATCCCCGTGCTAACAGCGCAACACCACATAGCTTTCGAGCGAGTTAAGCCACCGCCGCGAGGACACTTTCGGCTTCAGCGGCCGAAGTCGCCACGGTCCCAAAAACAGGGGGTGGTTCATTACGGGACGGGGGCGAAATCCAGACACGAACCGTTCGCTGCCTTCTTCCCCGTCCATTTCGCGCCATACCCATTTTCCCATGTCCCAAAGAGCTTGCATTCCTGGTACTGGAACGTTTTCTGAACTTCTACGGTTTCTTACCTGGCGACTGCTGTCGTCCTCTTCCGACGTTGTGGTGGTCGTCGTGAAAACGGCCTTGGTCACGTCGAACACGGTCGTCGAAGTGCTGTCCGAAGTGCTGCTGCTACTGGACGAGGTTGACGACAATTCGCCGTCGCGCCGTTTGCGCGTCGGCGCCGTCGATGCCATCGCTAGAGTTTACCGCTTTATGCAGAATCGAGACGGCTCGTCACGTTGACCGTGACAACGCAAAACACGTCTCTGAACACGGGTTTTCTTCATTGAGCGAGACTATTAACCGCTCTGATGCGCCAGGGAACGATACCTACCTAGCTCCTTCTTCTTCTACATAAATATCCACTAATGTTCATGCCACATACCCACAGCGGGGACTCGCTGCTCAGAGGAGAACCAATGTTCAGGGTGCATCTCGATGGCGGTTTGTAGGCTACCCGCAGTTTCACATATGTCAATCTGAACCATGGAACACCTATACACTGATCTGATCTTTTATCGGGTCACTTTCGATTTCACGTTGCCACACTTAATTGTTGCCAGAATGTTTTCACGCACCACCTCATGTTCCGGTGCCGCAACGCTACAAACTGCGTAGGCGCGCCCACACGCTGCGGCTGCAAGGGCTTATGATAGAAAATTGGATGGTTAGGGAGGCATTTTCCCGATAGAGGAAGGGCTAAAGTGCTTTACAGCTTCAACTTTTGAGATGTATAACGTCACGCTGTTCAGCCAAGCAATCGCGCTCTTGAGCGTCACACACTTGGAAACATTATTTGCTGGTGGGCTACGATGCTGAAGAGTCAAGCACGCCTAATTAGATCCCCCAAAGTAGGTGCGCGCCATGGCGATTGATTGATTGATATGTGGGGTTTAACGTCTCAAAACCACTATATGATTATGAGAGACGCCGTAGTGGAGGGCTCCGGAAATTTAGACCACCTGGGGTTCTTTAACGTGCACCCAAATCTGGGCACACGGGCCTACAACATTTCCGCCTCCATCGGAAATGCAGCAGCCGGGATTCGAACCCGCGCCCTGCGGGTCAGCAGCCGAGTACCTTAGCCACTAGACCACCGCGGCGGGGACATGGCGAGCAGGCGAACTATTCAGAAATTTACCGACGATGACCCTGATGAATCAGCCAAAACCACCTATGTGCACAGCACCGCAGTACCAGCACAACCTGCAAAAAGGGTTTCAGGTGTTCCTGCTGTAGTCTTAATCCAGTATTTTCGATGTTTACATACTCGACGTGGTAAACACATTACTGGTACTACTACCTCCATGAAGTGTTTAAATCCATCAGCTTCAGAAAGCATTACCTGCTGTCTCGGAACACATACCATAAAACAAAGGGAGCCATTAGGTTGCCTATGTATGCCAAGTGTTGGCTAGACACAGGTTGTACAGGCATTCACACAACTCTCACCACAGCCTGCAAGAGAACCGTTTATAGTCTTAAAACGTACCACGACACATGCAACTTTTACTTCAGCGTCCCAGCAATGCCATGCATGCGACTGCAATTTACACCAACTTCCAAATTTGTGTCTCCGGCATGCCAAATTTCTTGCCATAGTTCTACTAGCACATTTAGTGTGCCTCATTCCAAGTATTACGGTCAATGCTAATGTAACGAAGAACTAGAGTAAGAAGCAAGGTTTATGAATTCAGAGCTCACTTGCAAACATGTCCCACAGACAACTCAGAAAGGAGAAAAAAAAACTTTATTTGCAATGCACGATTGCACAAAAGGCAATATTAGAAGGGTAGGGAAAAAAGTGGGAGTGTTTCTCTTTTTTTATGTATCGAAGTTTTGCTCTTTTTTTTCTTTTTTCTGGTCTGCTCCCTTCCCTCTGATTCCTGGTGGGCCAGTTCACGTGGGTGACGATAAACCAAGAGCACCGCAAGTACACTGGCCGGGCACCGCAACAAACACAAAGGGCGAATGCAAAACAAGGTGTGCGCCCTGTGCGGTCCCAGCCGAGCCCTCGCAGCAGGCCACTTGGGCTACCCATCACCCATAGACTCTGCAAACCCCCGGGGAAGTCTACGATGGAGTCGGGAGCTAGGCGGTCAGGTCACTACTACTCCTTCTTCATGGCCACGTTCTCCTTGGCCTGGTGAGCGTGCAGCACTGCAACGGCTTCTTCCACCTGCACACAAACAGTGGGACAGCAGATTAGAATGAAGCTACAGCAAGAGCATTCACTTGGCTAACAAGTTTAGACCACTGTTGTGTTGTGTGGGGGTGCTGACACCCCCTGTAAAGTTGTCTGTGCCGCGTGGCACGTGTCTCGCACAGAAGCCGGTATTTCGGGAGTGACAACCGGCGTATTTCGGGGATGACAACCGCTGCACGATAGATGGCGTTGTGTTCGCGTTGAGTAGCACTGTTTGTAGAGTAGTAGCGCCGGCGGTGACCCCTGGCGGAAGGCAGGCCTTGGTGGCGGGCGAGAGTTGAGTGAGTCTCTTCTGCGCGTAGCAGTTGCCGTGAACTGTTGTCGGTAGCGAGGGTCCCCGGTGCTCGGCACCGCGCTAGGGTCCCACGTGGTAAGTCAAGCATTGGTGACGCCGCCTTGGGTATGTTATTGTGTGTTTCTCATGTTTTGGAGTGTATTGAAATTGTGTGCAAGGATGTCTTCGCGGGTGGATTACAATTGATGTATCATTCGGCGGACGATATCGTCGTGCTGAATTAGTTAAATAAATGTATGTTGTTTGGTTTGTACCAACCGCGTCTTTTGTGTCCGTTCACTCCAAGAGCGAGGCATGGTGCTCGCTCGCTACATCGAGACCCCACAGTTGATATGTAGCCTTGACAAGACAACAGCATGAAAATGAAACAAGCCACTGAGACAAACCAAGCCTGATAAGTGAACACCTGTCTATAGAGAGATGTATCTTGAAGAACCTTCAAACCACCTTCAGTACTTTTAGTTTTGTTTTTTGAAGAGTTGTACAGATGGCGAAATTTCAGATGCAAAGCAAATTGAGTGTTCTTCAAATAGTTGTCAAATATTTAATATTTTTTTAAATATTATGAAACGACAACTACAGAAAAAAACTAAATATCACCTCCACGAAGGGAACCCCGATAGGATGCAAAAGCAGCAGCAGTGCGGCACGGTGTTGACACGGGTGATGGAAGAACAGTTTGAAGCGAAACTCGCTGTAGTGTTTACCCGAGTGACAGTTTGTTTGAAATGCAATGACACGGGAGGCGGGACGCGTTGAAGACGCTTGCGCTCGGCTTCCTGGGCTCAAGTCTCGTCAGTGTTACCCACACGCCGTCTGTATTTTTGAACGCGATCGGTGTTTTTGACTCTCACCTTACCGGTGTCGCTGGTCTTCCACTGCAGACGCTTGCTTTCAGCTTCCATGGCTCATGCCTCGCCGAAGTCGACATTGCCATTTGCGACCGTGATATGATCAGCTTCACTAATACTCGCCACGCACACACTAGCGCAAAGCATGCCGCCTGTCGGCGTGATCGCTCGCTGTTTACATTGTCGGCACCGCGAGATTCTCGAGGCGCAACCATCGGCTCACGGCTTTTTCTCGTCGACAAATGGAGAGAGGTGGCGAGAGAGAGACGATGCCCACGTGATGAGTGGGCTCGAGCGTTGCAGGCAATGGAGAGGGTGAAGCAAGAGAGAGGAGCCGACACACAGCGAGCACGCGGCAGGCGAGGGAGAGACTTCACCATGCATTTCTAGGAGGGCGTGAGCTACTTGGCGCTGCTCCAACACCTTCGGCGCGGTACACAGGCTAGTCAAAGAGCTGCTTCGAATCTAAAAAGGTTGCAGAGGATCCCAAGCACATTCTAATGCGATAGGAAAATGGAAGTGTTTCTTTTGGCTAGGTTAATTAAGGGGGGACGCGGCTTTGGGATCGCGAAAAATGGCAAAAAAAAATCGATTTTTTGAAAATCAAGTTTTCAGTTTCGGAAATCCTTTTTTTACCCGATTCCGAAATATCTACGCTGAAAACCGCGCAGGAGTGCTTCGGAAAATTCATTTCACCCACCTAGGTAGCGAAACTTTTTCTGGAAATCTCGAGAAACCTTAGATCTTCAAAACATTATGGCTTCGCGATGGCAGGGCTGGAGCCGGCTTCTTGAGCTTATCGGAAAGGGCATTTCTGCGCGTTTAACTTTCCCGCCTCAGCTGGCTCTTCCCTTTAAAAACAAGCGCACAAAAAGCAAAAGTTAAAAGGTCGTTTCGAGGCCCTTGATTGGCTGTGGTCGCCATGTTGTCTCGGCTCTCCATTGCTCGCTCCGGCAGATCGTCGTCTGCTGCTTGTGCGTCGCGAGGACATGGCTCTAGAAAATTGCTACTTCGTGATGTGTTCACGGCTCGGTCACTTAAGATATAATCATGCTTTACTTAGGAGCAGTAAGCGGATGCGCGATCAGGTTACTACAAACAGGCGCGCGGTCTACCAGTGTGGCGCGTCATCGGAGTCGTCTTCACTGACAGCAACTGACAGCAACTCCACTGACAGCAAGACTGCGGACAGGAACAGTGCACTAGCGCACTCATGGCAATGTGCTTCTTCGCAAGGAATGAAGCGCATCACTCGCCAGCTCCTTTGAACCACGTACGGGCATTTTACGCATCAGCAGCGGACCACACAGTCAAGCTCGTCACCCCCCTAGTTGTTTCGAGCATCACCCGAAAATGCGATGTCAAGCGTAGTGCGCGCCGATTTTTTGTCATCGCAGCTACATATTTCGCGCATCGTCATCGAACGCCGCCGGCAAGTGCATTATGCGCTGGCTGCACTGTCCACGCACCCCACGGTCATATGAAGCGCTGTCAATAAGCTTTTGTGATGCGATTCAAACGTGCTTGGAGCCGTGCTTGATATCGCCACGAACGTCTATGGATGTTCCGAGGTTGATGAATTGCTGTAGATTAGTTTCTGCGACCGGCTGTATGATGATGTGTTTCACGGCTAAAGTGGCAAATGAGCATGTATAAATCAGGGGCATGAATTTTTATATACCCGTTTCGAGTCATTAATTATACCGCTAAAAATTCCTGTGCCAACATTCTTCTGCCCATAACTTTGTTATTTGGAAAGAAGGCATAGGCCGTCATGGTGTTATCCATATTTCTGATGCACTAAACCTCTCTCCAAATAAATGTTCAGTGATTGTAATCAAG